CTCCTGTGCTTATTCAGCCAGATCCATCTCGGCAGTTCATCGTGGAAGTGGATGCCTCTGATTCTGGTATAGGAGCTATTTTGTCCCAACGTTTTGCTACAGATCAGAAGCTTCATCCTTGTGCCTTTTTTTTCTCGTCGCTTGAGCACTGCTGAACGTAATTATGATGTAGGGAACCGGGAACTATTGGCAGTGAAGTTAGCCTTGGAACACTGGAGACATTGGCTTGAGGGAAGTGAACAACCATTTTTTGGTATGGACTGACCATAAAAACCTAGCCTACATACAAACTGCTAAGCATCTAAATCCTAGACAAGCACGTTGGGCCCTGTTTTTTGGTCACTTCAATTTTACCCTCACTTACCGCCCTGCCTCAAAGAATGTTAAACCAGATGCACTTTCACGACAATTTACTCCAGAAGAGGACCCGCAAAGCCCTGAAACCATTCTCCCTCCTTCCTGTGTGGTTGGGGCCATCACGTGGGAAATTGAGTCAGTTATTCGGGAGGCTCAACGCACCCAACCCGATCCAGGCAATGGGCCTCCTGGACGTTTGTTTGTTCCCAATGCGGTTCGTTCCCGGGTCCTCCAGTGGGCCCATGCATCCCGGTTTGCCTGCCACCCTGGTTCTAGTCGCACTGTTAACCTCCTTAAACGACATTTTTGGTGGGGCACTATGGATAAGGATACTCGAGAATTTGTCAATGGCTGCTCTGTGTGTGCACGTGGGAAAACTTCACACCTACCCCCGGCAGGGTTGCTTCGTCCTTTACCTATTCCCAGATGGCCCTGGTCACACATTGCTCTTGATTTCATTACTGGACTGCCTATCTCACAAGGCAACAACACTATCCTTACTATTGTGGACCATTTTCTAAAGCAGTGCATTTTGTGGCTCTCCCTAAATTGCCCACAGCTCAAGAGACCACTGATCTCCTTGTCCAGCATGTTTTCCGTCTTCATGGCATCCCTCTAGATATTGTCTCAGACCGTGGGCCCCAATTTACATCTCAGGTTTGGAAAGCCTTCTGCCATGCGCTTGGTGCTACTGTAAGTTTGTCTTCTGGCTTTCATCCTCAGTCTAATGGGCAAGCAGAGCGGGCTAACCAGGAGTTGGAAGCAGCATTACGGTGTGTGGCTATAAATAATCCTTTGTCTTGGAGTACCCACCTCACTTGGATTGAATATGCTCACAATTCCCTGTCCAGCTCAGCTACTGGTATTTCTCCATTTGAGTGTTCTTTGGGATATTTGCCTCCTTTGTTTCCAGTACAGGAGAATGAAATTGCTGTTCCATCAGTTCAAGTCCATATCCGTCGCTGCCGTAAGATCTGGAGGGAAGATCTGAACGGTCTGCTCTGCTCCGTTCAGCTGATCGTAATCGCCACCTTGCAGACCGTCATCGAACCCCCGCACCCATTTATCAACCAGGTCAGAAAGTTTGGCTTGCTTCTAAAAACATTCCTTTAAAGACCGATTCTAAGAAACTCTCTCCTCGCTACCTTGGACCTTTTGAAATTGAGAGAGTCATCAACCCCTCTGTTGTCAGACTCAAACTGCCTAGAGCCATGAGAATTGAGAGTGCTAGCGCATGATGTACACAGTACCATCCTTAAACTGCTAACAACTAACATCATATGTGTAAAGAAAAGTTATATCTTACTTGCTAATGTTTTTATAACACTTTGGGTGAACTTGCATGGACAGTGGTTCTATATGATGTAAACATATTATCTCTACTCAGATATTTCATGTAGGATGAACTAAAGCAAACTGAGTAAACTCAACTAAAATTAGACATGTCATGATAACTTGATTTATTCATGTCCAAATAACATGGTACAAACACGTGGAACCACTGTCCATGATTGAATCATGTTCAGCCAAAGAGTCATTTTTTTTTGAGTGCAGTGGCCCCAAAACATATTTTAATATTTAAGCTGCACATAGAAATTAATGAATATAATTTTGATAGATAAAATACCAATTCAAATGTCATTCATTTTAAATAAAGTTAGCAGAAGCACAATTTTCTATAGAAACCTGTTCTTGTACTTTCGCCTTTATATCTCACAATTGGGACTGTTTCTCATAATTGCAACTTTACATCTCACATTTGGGATTTTATATCTTACAATTGGGACTTTTGTTCTCATAATTGCACCTTTATATTTCACAGTTGCAATTCCATATCTCACATTAGGGAGTATTTCTTATAATTGTTACTCTGTGTCTCACAGTTGGGACTAGTTCTCATAATTGAGCCTTATGTCTTATTTTGATCTTATTTCTCATAACTGCAACTTTAAACCTCACAAAAAAAGTTTATTTTAAACTTTCTCACAGTTACCTATTTTATTCCTATAGGCAGAAACAGGACTCCATACTTTTTATGCAAAGCATTTCACAGACATTTCTTATTTTTAAAAATATATTTTTTATCTTTTAATATAAGATAATAAGATATTAATATTAAGATAAGATATTTTTTTCTCCAAATTTTATGACTCTTTCTGTTTGTTTAATATTAGTGGATCATGGCCATAATTACTTTGATGAACTACACCTGTGGTTATCATACTAGTACACCTGTGGGGAACTGACTTAAAAGGTATTAAAACGACATTGGGAAAATTACCTTTACTGTAGATAAATGTAAAGCTAGAAAGAGTAACTGACCATCTGTTGTTTATTTCCTATGGTTAAGAGTAATGTTCTAAGAAACACACAAAGACTCATCTTCATTAGTCTGTAGGCTGTTCATGTTTTCATATGTGGAGAGGGATTTGTGTGATGTGAGATGATGTTTTTTAAGGTCAGTGATTTGAATAGGAATAGTCTGAAATAATGAGTTTTCCTATTAGGACTGTCCACATCACTGACCTCTCTGTGTGTGTTATTGTATATTATTACGCACACACATTGCTAAAGTGAATGTTGGTGTTGTTTATGTGTTTGCAAATATAATTTACAATTACAAGCAGCAACGATTAATATTATTAAAAGTAATATTTTAGTGAATTTGCATGCTAGCTTGATTCTTGAATGTTGTTTACTACATTAATTCTGCTGTGTGTGTGTGTACTGGAGGGATTGTATTAATTAGGGCCTCTATCTGAAATGGCAGCCTTTTGATGCCCCCGCGGGACAAAAAAAACTGAAGTAATTGAAACTGTAAAGGATGAGGGGCTCGTTAATCAGTCAGAAAATGTATATTCCCATGAGGGATGTCTAAACCGACTCGCACACATACACACACACACAAATGCCTATGAGGCTTTTGTAGTAATAGGTGCGGAGACATGCTTAAACATGTTTGTGCAGTGATTGTTTTAGAGTGTTAATGATTGCAGGTGGTTACATCATACTCTCTGGAGATTTCAGACATGTTTGGTAAAGCGTGTGTATTTTTGGATTCCTCTGAGAGGCATGACAGTATATGTTCCAAATGCAGTAAACTAACAGTGTTTGTTCCCATGTCTAAATATAAATATGCACCTCTGTGTGTACTTATTTGCTATGCCTCAGTGGCTATTTTACTGGACAGACAGAAAGTGTGTCTTATGGTGTGGGTGTCTGTTTTGTTGTATATAGTCTTGGTATAAAATCGAAGCTGTCTAATTATACACTAATTGTACAGTGCCTTGTAAAAACAATAGACCCACTATTTCATTTCAGCCAGCCAATCATACTGGAGGTTACAATTTTGGCTTTATTTGTGGTGGCCCAACTGAAGTAAACAAAAATTGATAAATCTGACAAATTTCAAACTTATCACTGGTAGAAACTGGTAGAATGCATTTGTTCTGATTGTTCTGAGTTGTCAGTCTTTTGTGACAATGTGTCTACATTTATTAGAAAGTCAGTATATTTGATATCTTATTGATTGCAGAGGGCTAAGTGGTTCAATCCAGATTCAGTAACTTAAGCTAACATGTGTTTATCAATTTGGCATCAATCCCCAATTTTCTCTGACCTCTGCAACTCCCCCTCCCCCACAGTGGGTGGGCCAGATGGGTCCTTTATTTTTTTGCACATTTTCTTCTGGGCTTTGGTAAGCCAATCAGAAAATGGAAACTAATTGGAAATGCATGGTAGGAGAACAGCTAAGCTGTTGCCTAAAGGCTAATTCATTTTATTTTCAAGCTAAAACATGCAAATCACTGGAAGTAAGTGACAAGTTTGTAAATGTGATTTTGTGTGTTCAGTTCTAATGTACTTGTGCATAAGATACGCAAGGAAGCCAGAAACCAGCAAAATAAAATCAGTATGGTTTTATCTTTATATTAAGGCAAAATATTTTGACAGATTTATCATAAAATCACAGTGTGTATGAATTTTAATCAGTGAATTTATGAGTTTAAACAGTGATTAAATAATTGGACCTGAAAGGCGAACAAAAAAGACCACAGTTTCTTAAAAATCTCTTTACTTTTGCTTTTAAATGAGTACATTTAAAATAATAGTATGCTTATTTACTCTAAAATATTTTACTCTGCGTCCAGTATATGACTGACATTTATTAATTTCACATTAATGTGCATTTATGTGTGTCTGTGTGTAAAATTGGAAGAAAGATGACATTTAGCTTCTATCTCCTAGGGAATAGTATTGCATTTAAATTAAAATAAGCATTTAAGTATTTTATCTCTTGTATGCTTATGCTCAGGGTCTGAAATTTACACTTGCCAAGTGCCAAATGCAAGGGAAAAATAAAACTTGCTTGGCAGTGGCTGGTATCTGCTACTGTGCTATACTTTAGTAAAAAATGCAAAATACTGTCACTCACCATTGGCACATGTAACAAAATATTAATTTTGGACACTGTTTATGCTGTTTTTGTGTTTGTTTCCAGTGTAAAATTCCACATACTGTTATATACAGCTGATAAATGGTTGTAGTTCATTTGTATCTAGAATAGTTTCACCTGTCCTGCAGTTTAGTACACTAATTGCTTAAGGTTGGTAAAATTCTCTGTTTTTTCTTCTCTTTCTCTTCAGCTGTTAGCTCAGGTGCTGCTGTTCTTATGTATAAACACTGCAGGGATGTTTATCAGCTACCTGTCAGACCGCGCCCAACGACAGGCCTTTCTGGAGACACGCAGGTGCATCGAGGCACGTCTCCGCCTGGAGACCGAGAACCAGCGACAGGTTAGTGTTCGCAAACTTTAAAAGTTTCCTTCACACACACTCACGTGACATATGTAAATGTGTTTGTGAGCAGAGTGCTTTTGGATGTTTCCAGGAAGTGTACAGTATGTATAATGTATGTGTGCGAAACAAAACAACTACTTCATTAAATTGCGTATACTTTCTAGCAAAATACCATAGTTTATAGACGTGTGTGTGTGTGTGTGTGTGTGTGTATATTTGAAAATTTTGGTAAGCAATTTACAGAAATGTTTATTCTACTGGCAGCTTTGTCAGTGAATAGTAAATCATTTCTTTTTTCAAATTTGAGTAGATGTTGTATACGTTTTCTTATCAAAACATTGGTATGATTTTTTCATGTTTTTGAAACAAGTCTTTTATGCTCAACAAGGCTTCATTTATTTGATCACAAATACAGAAAAGAACAGTAATATTGTGAAATATAATTTCAAAATAAATGAAATATAATTTAAAATAACTGTTCTCTATTTGAATATATTTTAAAGGGGACATCAGATGCTCATTTTCCACAAGTTGGTATGATTCTTTAGGGCCTTCATGAAATGTCTGTAACATACTTTGGTTAAAATTCCTCAACGGTCGTGTAAAACAACACCCTTCTTACCTTGTCAAAAACAGCTGTTCACAGCAACCCGTTTCAATGCAAGTCTCTAAATGATAATGAGCTACTGCTCACCCCACCCCTCTCTTCCATGGTGGTCTCATTTACATTCACATAGAAACTGGCTGCGTGTTTTCTTTTCAGCTTTTGTGAGCTGGCAGACATGCCAGAAACCTAACTAAACCTAAAACTAAAAATTTCATACAATGTCCCCTTTAAAATGTCATTTATTTCTGTGATGGCATAGCTGAATTTCAGTTAGCTGAATCCAGTCTTCAGTGTCACATGATCCTCGTTGATAATAACATTTCTTATTATTATCAATGTAAAAACAGCACTGTACTATCAACGTACTTGATATTTTTTTATCAAAAATGTGATAAAAAAACATTTCAGGATTCTTTGATGAATATAAAGTTCAAAAGAGCACAATTTATTTGAAATAGAAATAGTTTATAACTTTACAAATGTATTTACCGTCACTTATGATCAATTTAATACATACTTGCTGAATAAAAATATTCAGTTCCTTCCCAAAAAAAAAAATCTTACTGACCCCCCAACCTTTTAAAAGTGTGTGCACATTCATGCTCACGCGTAACCTTGCTATATCACACTCCTTTATCAGCAATGAGCCACAGTGGGTGAGAGTAATTGATTTAAAGATGAGAACAGCATCTCATAGGGACAGAAAGCTAGTGTAGAAAGGTTCCGAGACTCCTTAGGGAATCTCTCTCTCCATCTCTTTCTCTGAGAGCACTCCGGCTGTTTGCTGAAGTGGGTTTTATTTGCCAGTCAAGTGGAGCCCATGCTGGTACCACTGTGTGTGTGTGTGTGTGCTTGCATTTCCTCTTCCTTTGTATGTCCATCTATCCAAATTTCCTGTGCTTTTAGCCCAGCCAGTGGTGAGATTACAAACCTCTGGCTTGTTGAATTCATATTTGCAGTACCAGCTCTTTATCCATGCAGCGTCACAAAGGTGAATTACAGCTGAGGTGTGTAATTTTTTTCAATTTGAAAATACTTTCTCCTACCTCAGCCAACCTAATATGGAGAGGCAGCTGTTAGTTATATTCCTCCCAAAAAGTGTAAACGCTATTGCTGTTTGTTTATGCATCTGACCAGCCCAACACCACAATATTGGCTCAACCAATGGCGTGGTTTTGGGCTCCAACCAATAGATGACTGGGAACTGTTTGCAAATCTGTTTGAAAAATATGATTAATTTTGCAATTAGTAAAGAAATTACATACTTCAGCTTTAATATATTTAGCAGATGTTCTTTGCAGTGTTTTGTAAAAGGATTCAGACTCTTTCTTCACATTGAATTATAAATTCATTTGAGTTTTTGTTAAATATTTTTTTGGGAAAGATGCTGTTACGCATTTGTATTTAGCCCTGTGTACTGGACGCTCTGGGATATTTAATTGACTGCTGAACATTTAAGGGAGCTAACACTGGATAAAAATGACTTGATGCTGTTATTGCAGTAAAAGGAAACTGTATCATATATTAATATGTGGGGTTAAAAAAATAAAATAATGCAAAAAACTGTTTCCTAATGAAATTCTACCTTATTTGTGATTTAGTTTAAAGGTAAGACTGGTATACTAGTTGAATTGGTAAACTGGTTGAAACTCAAAGGGAATTGATGTGTATAATATGAAAATTATGTTTTTGTATGTGTAAGTGTGCATTCAGTGACTGAATGATTTAAATCCATGTTTAATGAAGCACATTTCCCATGCTGCACCTGTGTTAGGAGCGTCTGGTCTTGTCGGTGCTGCCGCGCTTTGTAGTGCTGGAGATGATTAACGACATGACCAATGTGGAGGACGAGACCCTACAGCACCAATTTCACCGCATCTACATTCACCGCTATGAGAACGTGAGGTAATTTCTTCCATTGTGGTACAGTCATCATGAATAGAACAGAAGAGAATCAAATGGAATTGAATCAGTCATCCGCCATTAAGGCTCGGTCACCCATCATTCCGGCTCAGTTACCCGCTCCGCTGTTATGTCTCAGTCATCCTCAGTCACTCTCTTTTATAACCCAAACAAGTAGCCCAGTACAGCACAGTCAGTCACCATAAGAGCACCAAATAGGCTCTGACTGGCCCCAAAAATGGCAGTTCATGGCCGTGTGAGCCAAAATGAAGCCACTTTGGCCACCCCTTAAATTGTGTTATATAGTATATGTAATAACATAAACGCATTCAGAATGATCGCAGACAGAATACTTGCTTACCGAGGTTGCATTTATTTGATCAGAAATACAGTAAAACGGTAATATTGTGAAATATTACAATCTTAAACAAATGTTTTCTATTTTACTGTATTTTAAAATAGAATTTATTCATGTGTTCTTGTGAATTATTAGCAGCCATTACCCCGTCTTCAGTGTCACATGATGCCGATTTGGCGCTCAGGAAACATTTCTCATTATTATCAATGTTGAAAACAATTGTACTGCTTAACATTTTTGTTGAAACTGTGATTTTTTTTTTTTTTTATTCAGGATTTTGGATAAATTGAAAGTTTAAAAAACAGTATTTATCTAAAATATAATTTTTTTGTATCATTATAAATATTTTTACTGTCACTTTTGATCAATAATAAAAGAAATTGTACTAACCCTAAACATTTTAACAGTAGCATAGCTTGCATAGCTATTATATTTAAACTTATTAGTACAATTATCTTATATATTTAGGAAGTTTTGCCTGTTTATCTCACATTAAAATTCACTGATTGCCTGTAAAATGTTTGGGAAAATTGTTGTGATTTTTCCAGCTGATCTGTGTGCATGTGTGTTTTGTGCAGTATTCTCTTTGCTGATGTGAAGGGCTTCACCAATCTTTCCACCACACTCTCCGCTCAGGAACTCGTTCGAATGCTCAACGAACTCTTTGCACGCTTTGACCGACTGGCACACGTGAGTGATCTAACACACATACATTACAATCTGTAAGCCACATCACAGCGTCATTTGGGGTATAAAACATGTAATAGTTCTTGAAATAGCAGATGGAAATTAATTAAGGCATGGTGTTATTTTTTATCTCTCTGGATATTACAGCCTGTGGCTTACGTTTATTTAATATTGTTTGCTTGATATCCAAGTGTTGCCTGAAATGCTATGGTTCGATAAGAAGGTTACCTTGACATTTATATCAGTTAGCACTTTTAAGTTTGAGGAGTTCTTCTAGTTAGGCATTACATCTCATGTTTTCAGCGCATATTCATTTCAGAGCTCTTAATGCACAGGAAATACAGTGAAAATGCACTGTAAACCAATTAATCGACACAAGTCTTTTGCAATATGTTTGTCTGAACTATAAAAACAGATGTTTGTTGGGCTTAATGGAAATCAAACTGAATTTTCTATTCTATTCTATAGACTAAATCCCAATGAGTTGAACATTTCATAGTTACTCCTTGAGCTTTGGGTTCTGTGTAGATAAACTACCATTAGGATGTAAATACACCATCTGCATTGGTTTATTGCACTGCATTTGTATGACTTTCTTCTGTGGGACACAAAAGAGGAGATTTTGAAGAACTGTTTTTGTCCATACAATTCAAGTCAGTGGTGGGTTCAAAACAACACTGAACCCCAGTTGACTTGCATTGTATGGACAAAAAAACAAACAGAATTTCTTCTTGAGAAAGCTATACAGGTTTGGAACGATATAAGGGTGAGTAAATGATGATAGAATTTTCATTTTTGGCTACCTATCCCTTTAAGTCATTGTCATTCAACAAACCACCTTTCATGTAAATTATGCTTATTTTAGTGCTTTATTCACATAAGTCAGCGCTGTTTATCTCAGAAAATTGCAGTTACACTGCTGCTTCGCTTGCACATATTTATTGCAGGATGTGTGAAACAAAGACAAGTGTTATGTTTGTGTGCCAAGGGCAGTTCCAGCATATCTTGGCTTGGCGTTTATAGTGGCACCAGATAAGCTGAGTTCAGTTAGAGTACAGAGGAGATTGAAATATTTGCCAGCTCACCCTCCTTCATGTCCTGCAGTGCTAAATGCCTGTTGCAAAAGTCACATAAATAAAATCGTTGTGACCGCGTCCCCAACATTAATGACATTGATTTATGAGTGTGTGTGTGTGTTAGCGCAAGGGTACAACTGTCAACAGCTAGTGAACATCTTGATAGCTGCCCTTGGAAGAAAGAACAATATTAGTTACATGCGTATATATGGGCAGATTGATTTTGTGTTTTTAACAAATGTGTTTTTTGTTCTGTTGTTCAGACTGGAGAAGGAAATAAATGCATTATGAAGAATATTAAACTCCATCCTCATTCTGCAACTCTCCAATAATCATATTCATGAGTCAGTATAATAATCATTGGAGATTAACCAACCATAAAGTGGCTTGCTGATGCATAATGCAGATATTCAAATGTGGCATATGTGTGCTTGCAGATGGTTGTATCAGTATGTCATATTTAAATATCCTTGTGTCCTTGTGCGTGTTTGTGTGAATCTGCAGTCACACTCATGCGAGCAGGCCTGGTGTGGTATTAAATTCTGCAGCAGTTTATCGTAATGAACAGTGTTAATTTTCTCTCCCAATGGCAATGTTTATTTAGAGATGTCATATGTGTGCGGTTAGTGCTGTACTGGTTAACTGTGTGGTTGAGCTGTCGCCTTCAACATTTGCCTACATAATGTTTTTGATTGTTTGTGACATGCCACACCCTGACAACACTTTGAACTCCAAAGATCACGTCTTACACTAGCATTATCTTCCATAAATCTGTCTTGCTCTCTTGCTGTCTGTCTCTCCCTAGCTCTTTCTTTTTCTTCTACAGCCTCACATTACCTAATGGGAAATGTACATTAACACTTTTGTTACTTGACATGATCTAAGCGTGTGATGTAGAAACACCAAACATCTGACAAAAGTTGGTATATTTTTCAGTGCTCGCAAAATTTCTAAATCACTGGTAGCCCTTCGGGCAGACATTCTTCAGATTTTGGTAGCCCAAAATGAATTTAAGTTGCCCGAATAAAAAAAAAAAAAAAAAAAAGACATCGGCTTAACTTCACTGCAGACAAATCGGCATGATTAAAAACTTCATTGATCGCTTTTTTTCTTCAAATAACAAGTCAAGAGAGTAGGGGTGCAACGGATCACAAAACCCACGGCTCGGATCATATTGCATTATCATATCAGATTTTGAGTCACAGATTGGATCATTTTGCAGATGAGCAAAACAAATATGGTTCTTTATTATTTAAATAGCAGAATACTTCTTTGATACCACAGCAAAAACTAGTAGCATATAGGGATGTAACGATTCACTCAACTCACGATGCGATGCGTTTCACGATACTGATTTCACAATATAATTTTCTCACAATTATTCTTTTTAACAAAATGAGATTTAAGACAAATTATAAATGATAAATAAAAAAAATGCTGCACATTTCTTTGTGAAATTGAAATATGTCAAATAATAAAACTATAACTTGACATTTTTAAACAAATCCCAAATAAAATAAATAATACAAATAAAATAAATCTCTTCATATAAACAAACTAAGGCTTTGGCTGTGCTTTTTCCATTTAAAATCAGAGGCAACCACTGCATTTTAATCATGATCCAAACAAAGATGCTAAATACATGTTATTTAGATTGCAATTAGTTTCGAAATTAAGCAAAAACAGAATGGTTGATTTTAGCTTTGTGAATGAGATGCAAATGTCACTCTCTGACAGCAGGTGGCACTTATGGAACAGCAGGTGTTTATAGGCTGATTTTGTGAGCCCTGTTTTTTAGACTTGTGCCACGGAAATACCGGAAATAATGTTTTTGGACATGTACCCTGTTGTGCCATGATATTCATTGAAGTACTGTATATTGGAGTGTCATATTATTAATACTTTTATTCAGCAAGTGTGCATTAAATTGATCAAAATTGACAGTAAAGATATTTGTAATGCCTTAGAATTTAGATTTTTATTTCAAATAAATGTTGTTCTTTTGACTTTTCTATTCAGAGAATTCTGAAAAAAGTATCACAGTTGCCACAAAAATATTAAGCAACACAACTGTTTTAAACATTTATAATAATCAGAAATGTTTCTTGAGCACCAAGTCAGAATATTAGAATGATCATGTGACACTGAAGACTGGAGTAATGACTGCTGAATATTCAGCTTTGCATCACAAGAATAAATTACATTTTAAAATAGATCAAAAAAAGAGTTTTTTTATCAGTGATAATATTTTAGAATATACTGTTTTGTTTTGTTTTGTTTTTTGATCAAATAAATGCACCTTGGTGAGCATAAGAGACTTTTTTCAAAAACACAAAAAATCTTACTGATCCCAAGCTTTTGAACAGTTGTGTGTATATATAAAATACCATGGTATTATCATCTGCTACCATCAATGTTACTACAGTACTTTTTCCTTAAGGCTCAATCCAACTAAGAGCAGGTTCAAGTTTAATTTAATGGGTTATTTATTAGCATCATGCTGTAATGTTGATGTTTTGAGTATGGAGTGTGTTGTTACACTAGCATTTAATGCTAGTTTCTATGTTTATATCCATTAAATTGGCCCACGGTTTGGTATTGATTATGTAAAAGGCATTCACTTAGCCTTCAGATTAGCATTAGTGCTTCAAACATGCTATCATGAGACAGTCCAGAGCTAATCGAGCTGTAGGTGGTGTTTTTAGCGACTGACAAATGACAGTTACGGGCGTAATGACTCTTTGTTTCCATACAGCCGTTTACTGAGCTGTGAAAAGACGTTAATACGGCAGTAGGCATGAGTAATGGATCTCAGAGAGACCGAATGAGTGAGTGGCGGCCTTATAATTACCACCCTCTCTGAGCTCTACACAAAAACCTGGCAGGCTGAGAGATAACTACCATAGATAGAGTCTGCAGTGGAAATTATAGGGTAATTGTGGTTATAAATGCTCGAACCCTCATACATCCCTTTCACACACTGTAAGATGTGAAACTGTGCAACTGTTACATTAAGCAGCTAATTCTACCTGATCTGACCCTTAATTACTTTTATTGGGATAACTTAATGTATTTTGATTGATTCAGATGTAATAAATAAAAATATTGTCAACAGTTTGTAAAAAATGTAAAACTGTCTTCTCCTTTTCCTCTAAGGAGCATCATTGTCTGAGGATCAAGATACTGGGGGATTGTTATTATTGTGTTTCTGGCCTTCCCGAGCCTCGACTGGATCATGCCCACTGCTGTGTTGAGATGGGCCTCAGCATGATCAAAACCATCAGGTAATGGTGAAACGTTTCATGTTTTATACTGCCAGCCAACACTAAATAATTGATTTAATATTTCAGTAAGCATGTTATGTTCCAAGAGCAAGATGTTATTGCTCAAGTTATTGACCAGATTGCTGAGAAATTGTATTGCTTAAATAGACACAAATGAGAGAGTTGTTGACATAGTAGAGTATATATCTATAAAATGAATGTGTATATAATAGCTCAGTGCTCAGGAGACACATGTAAGAGTACTAGGAGGAATGTTCACCCAAAATTAAATTCTGACATAATTACTCACCTCCATATCATTCCAAACATGTACAACTACATGGAACACAAATCATTTCTGAAGATTTTCCTTGCCATTCTTTTAATTTAATAAAAGTGAGTAAAGAACGGGGGTCATTCAAGCTCAGAAATGACAAAAAGCATCTTAAAAGTTATCTATTTGACTCATACACTGTATTTAACATCTTCTGAAATCATATACTATAACTTTTTGTGGTGAACAGACTGAAATTTAAGCCATTCAATGATTTTCAACTATCTTGACATCCACCATACTATAACTGTCCTTATTAATGCGAGAAGTAATAATGCACAAAATTGAATCGTTCTATTGAGTCGTATCAATAATGAATCAGTTGATCCAGTTCACAAAGCTTGTCTGAATTATTTGAATCATGAATCAGACTGATCTTGTTTTCGAGTTCAACTAACTGACTCAACAATCACAGTGGTAAATGGCCCACTTGAGTGGAAGATCGTAAGTGAATAATAACTTGAAAAGTTGTCAAGTGTGCATGAGTTGTATGGACTAGTTTTAAGATTCTTTTATGGAACTTTTTGAAGCTTGACCTGTCCCTAACTACTCAACCAACCAACCATCATATTATTTAATTTCTCATTTTTGTGTTCCACTGAAGAAAGTCATAACCAATTGGTGATGACAAGAGTGCAAGTAAAGGGATATAATTTGCTATGCTTCTTTCCTATAGGTTGCCAAATTGGGGAAAGGAACTCACAAAATGAGAAATAACGTTAATATCTGCCTCACAGGTTGTATTTGAGTTTGTATGAGGTATTATTAGCACTATTTTAAAACAATGGAAGTCTATGGTATGTCTGTAGTAAGGTAAAGTGAGTAAAGTAAATGACAGATAGGGAGAGGCCACTAGACCAGTTCTGTTGACCCTTAATAGAGGCTAGATAGCAGATGAGAGGCCCTTGTTCCATAGGTGTGTATGTGTGTGCTCCACTAGAGTGAGTGCTGTCAGATATCACGGCACTCACACTACCACTCAACACACACACAGCAGTGACAGTGTGACCTCGATTCCTCTTTTTATAAACAGTCACTTACTTCTGCCTGTTACCCCATTCAGGAGTAATAGTATGATGTGCATTTCAACTTGCCTGTAAAATCAGTGTGAGTTATCTAGCTCAACAGTTGTTTAGCGGCACCATTACAGAATTGCAACACAGCTAGCTAGCTATCCATCCTAAACTTTTTGTATTTGTATGTTTAGGTATGTGCGCTCACGAACAAAGCATGACATAGACATGCGCATCGGCATCCACTCTGGCTCAGTTCTTTGCGGAGTTCTTGGTTTGCGGAAATGGCAGTTTGACGTCTGGTCTTGGGATGTCGACATAGCCAACAAACTGGAGTCAGGGGGAATACCTGGGTAAGATACACACGTGCACACAAAAGCTCTCTTTTGTGATTAAAAAGTAAGGGAAGTACAGTGGGATTATCCAGTTGCCCTCAAATATGCTCGACTGTGATAGAAAAGAGATATTTTATGGACACCTTCTCTCTCTTGTGTAACTGTGTGGGCGGAAATTAAGTGAGTTTTTGTTTATTCTCATTTTGAAAAAGGTGCTTTGTTTTGGATGTGTGAGATGAATCTGTAGTTAATTTCGACTCCCTCAGGAGGATCCACATCTCTAAAGCGGCTCTAGACTGTCTGAACGGTGATTATGAGGTGGAGGAGGGTCAAGGTAAGGACCGTAACGACTTCCTGCGCAGGCATAACATCGAGACCTTCCTGATCAAGCAGCCAGAGGAGAGCTTACTCACACTACCGGAGGACATCATGAGAGATTCCACCAACCAATCAGATCACAGAACGTCTAACACTTCCTTCACGGAGGGAACATGGAGCCCTGAACTTCCCTTCCATAACATAGTGGGCAAACAGAATGTGAGTGCAGTACACATACAAGCAAACAACCAAACAAGCACAGTTAAGAAAACACACATTAACACAACCTCAGCGATTTTGAACCTCAAACACAGCAGGCAAATGGAGCTTAAATTGAGGCTCTGTATCTGTTTACTGCGCCTGTTTTTCATTTCAGTGTGAGCTTCTGATTTATTTCCACATCTCTCCATTTTCTCTCATGTTCGTCCTGCATGGTTTTTGTATTGTTTGGTTGTTCTGGATTGTTGTGTGTATTTACTTCATAACCTATATGGTGATCTGGTCTGTAAGTGCACATGTAAGGTGCCATTCACAGAAAATATTTTTGCATTCCACAGTGCTGCATTTCCATTGATTTTCTATGTAAATATGCGTTAGATGGACATCTTTGACATCTTTGTATGAAGACTATTTTTCCAGTCCTTTGCCCTGCGTCTTTCTTGTGAATGGCCCCTAACTGTTTTTCTTTACATGAAGATTCTTATTTAAGATTTTAGATGTGCTACACCCAGTAGACCTGTAGTCACACTAAAGTTAGAGATGTAGACAACTACTCAGCTGTAGTGGCTCCCCTTGGATGGATTAAATGTAAATATATATGCTCCGAAAACACTGTTTCTGTCGTGCAGGTTTGGTAACCCATTACAACACTTTTCCTGCCCAAATGTTAATGTAACAAACAATGAAAAAGAAGTGTACAAGCAGAATTCTCTAGATCTCTGTAAAATGGCTCATGTTGCAAATTCATTTTAAATGTTCTTAGTGCTGTTGGACAGCTATAGTGCTCTAGAAGGTCTCAGGACTGTAGGGTAAAGGGTAATGTTCTAAAAGGCTGTCTGGACTGTTGGTTAAGGACAGTGTTCTGAAGGGCTGTTAGGGATAGATGGTGTTCTAGAAGGTCCTCAGGCAATAGGAAGAAGGTTCAAGAAGGTTTCAAATGCTGTATAAAAGGGGCACTGTTCTAGAGCACAGCACAATAGGGTTCTCAAGGCTATAGTGTGTGGAAAGTGTTGTATTGGGTTCTCAAGACTATAGCGTAAAGACAGTGTTCTAGAGGGTTCTAAAACTAGGGTTCTAGATTCTCTAGACTTTAGGGTGGGGTGGGGACAGAGTTCTGTAGAGCTGGGACATTGCCAATGTGGTTTTCACATTTGTTTCATAAAGAATATGTTCTAACTGATTCTTTTTTCTTTTTCTTTTTTCTTTTTTCTTTTTTTCAAGGCTGCAGGGTAAGGACAGTGTTTGTGTGGGCTCACAAGTCTGGAAACAGAGTTCCAGTGAGTTCTCAAGGATTAAAGGCAATAATGGTGTTCTTGCAGGTTCAGGGCTGTATGATGGGAACAGAGTTCCAGTGTTCTAGTGGATTCTCTAGGCTGTAAGATGAAGGCAGTGTTCTAAAGGGTTCTCGAGGTTGAAAGGTTGGGCCGGTGTTCGAGTTGGTTCTTAGGGTTGTAGACGGGAATAATGTTCCAATGAGTTCTCAAGGCTATAATGTAAAGAGTGTTCTAAAATGTTCTCAAAGTTGTAGATTATGCACAATGTTTAAAAGTGCTTTCGATACTTTTGGACAGGGATCTTGTTCTAGTGGATTCTCAAGACTTTAAGGCTGGGACAGGGTTCTGGAGGGACCTCGAGGCTGTAAGTCAGGGGGGTTATTCCAGCTGTTTTTCAAACTTGTGGTGTAGGGACTGTGTTCTAGCTGATTCTCAAAGTAGGTTGGAAGGGACCATGCTTTAGAGCAAGAGTGTCAAGCTCAGCTCCTGGAAGGCCACTGTCCTGCACAGTTTAGCTCCAGCCAGCTCCAATACACCTATCTGGAAGTTTCTAGCACTCCTAAAGACCTTGATTAGCTTGATCAGGTATGTTTAATTAGGGTTGGAGCTAAACTTCAACAGGAGAGTGGCCCTCCAGGAGCTGAGTTTCACGCCCCTGTTTCAGAGTGTTCACAAGGTTGTAAGATAAAGACACTATTCTTCTAGATTCTCAAGGTTGTAAGATGGGGACAGTTTTTTGGAGGGGTTCTCAAGGCTGTAGGGTGGGAATAAGTGTTAGAGTGGCTTTTCAAGGCTATAGGGTGGGCACTGTGTTCTGGAGGGTTCTCAGGGCTGAATGGCTCACAACAATGTTCTAGAAGGTTTTCGTGGCATGTGCAGTTGATTATGATGCAGAACTCTCTTGGTGTGGGCCGAGTTGCCAGGCTGTTGCTATGGTGACGTGGTTAACATAAGGGAATGTTGTCTTTGATTAATGCGGGGCTTTTGTTGCCTTTGTCATGCAGTCATCTTAACACATCAAAGAGCTCTCACTGTATGACTGGCAGGGCAACCAGCCAATTACACATCAGCTGAGAGCACAAGCTTTCACGTTGATTAGACGTGTGTGTGTGTGTGTGTGTGTGTGTGTATGTCTGAGCTATTCTAGATGTGTTCAAACAGAAGTATGCTGACATGTTCATGTGTGTAAGATTATAGGGCTGGTCTCCATGACAACAGGAATGTCTGTAAGGCAGTAACAGGATTCTTTTTCTCCTTCACGCTCCGTTTATCCCTCCCTCTCTCTCTCCTCTTTCATCTGATGTTCTTTTCTTCTCCTTTATCTCACATCCTCTCCCTCTCTCTTCTCTGTCTCCCTGTTCAGGCTTTTCCCTCAGTGACGCATTGCAGCCACAGTGTGTGTGAGTGAGTGAATGTGTGTTTTAGTGAGTGTTTGGGTGTGCGTGTGCTGCCGAAGGGTGGTTCTGTTAATGGATTTAGTGTCTCAATCCTTGTGTTTTTGTGTGTAATCCAAAACGTCGTGGAGTTGAAAACATACACACACATGTGTGTATATAAACACTGCAACCTGAGAGTATTTCCTCCAGAGTTTAACATAGGCCTCGTCTTTTGTATTTGGTAGAGAAAGCATTTACTATTGATCAGCCAAAAAACCTCTGCAATGTCTGTGTTCCAAAATCAATAAATAAATCTAGATTAAAACATGGATCGAAATTTTGAGAGAACTACAGATTGGGAAGTCATTTTTTGCTCTCCAGGTTGAAAGCTGTATATTACTGAAATGTGAATAGGTGACTGAAGATCTAACCTGGCGTTTGTTTATTGGAGCTGAACATTTTACAGAAGAAGAAGAAGAGAAGTGCACCTCTCTTCTTTTATCATAGTATCCCTGACCCATGACTTCCTGCCATCTGACTACACTATTAAAAGCTATTTAAACTCCACCCCTATAAGCAATTTCAGGAAGCTTTGCTGCTCTCAAAAGCATCAGAGCTCTCAAAAGTTTTATTTCTCCACCTTTAGGATTATTGAGGAGAACTCAAATTGATTCTCCGACATCTCCACCCAGAAGCTTTTCCATCTCTTGTACTCCACCCAGATTTTTTTCGGTTTTATTCAGTTCATAATCTGATTAATACCTCAACCAGAATGGAAAACATTGATTTAAACCCCTTAGTCAGGAAAAAATCATATTCAGCTTGATTCAAAAGAAAGGGGTGTTGCAAATATAATCTGTTCACAGTGAGATTGAAAAGTACCTTGCATGCATCTGAATTGTAGTGCAAGAGCAATTTTTGATAGTTGTTGGAGGAGAAATGAGCATGAGGCTGATGAATGTGAATTGCTCTTTATACCCTCAATAAGTATAATTTGAAACATCAGGGGGCATGATTAATCATAATTGTATTAAATTGAAAGCCCCAGTTTTTACTAATAGAAACTACCTTTCAAAAGTCAGTAAGATTATTCAAATCTTTTTAAAAGGAAGTTTTATTCTATTACGCTAATTTGGTACTTAAGACAAATTTCTTAATATTATTAATATTGAAAACAGTTGTGCTGCTTGATATCTTAATATTAGGGTTATTTGATGAATAGAAAGTTCAAAAGAATCACATTTATTTGAAATAGAAGTAATCAATTTTGATCAATGTAATGCATCCTTGCTGAGAAACAAAATACTAATTTGTTTCAAAAACAAATTAGTGACCCCAAACATTTGAACGGTATACTGCTTTTCATTTGTATGTTGTTGTTTTGGCATTGCTGTATGACCTTGTGTAAAGAATAATGTTAAGCTGTTTAATATTGTGTCCAAGGCAGAACTATAATTGCTAGAGAGAATAAATCTTATTGAATATAGAATAGCTTGTAAGTTAGGTACATTGTTGTAGAACTAACATCTGATGAATGAAAAGTCCATATACAGGGCCCAAAAAAATATTTGGGCACTTAAGCCATGCTTAAAAATGTATGAACATTTGCAATAGTATTTAACTTTTTTATTGTCATTTTAGTGGATGTATAAAGTCAGTGCCCCTCGAGTTCACACAGGTGGAATGTGCCATTCCAAACCTAGGCTATATGACTTTTTCTACAGTAGACCACAAAATGAGATAACAATTTTCATTTTTGGGTGAACTGCTCCTTTAATTGCCACAATGCTTTTGGGGCCACTGTATACAGTATATATATTATACATTTTTGGACAGAACAGCACCTTGTCTACGTATGTTTGTGTGCGAATAGTCCATTGTGTATGTATGAGAGTGAGTCTGTGTGCAAGTTTTGTATTCCTCTAGATGACTCACGGCTCACAGTGACCACAGCTCCAGCTCATGGCACAGATGATAGTCCTCTTTAAAAGATACTTTCAGCGGTCAAAACAAAATCAAACGTCTTTGTCAGATCCTGTTTATGCAATATCCTCTGCTAGTCATCCTTCCATTTGACCTCCACCCCTGTGCTGACATTTCCGTTGTTAAATACGCTCAAATACAAGTTCACATTTGTGACATATATGGTTGATACTGTGTTTGCTGCAAAGAAATGTGTTTGGTGACCCACACACATGGAGGTCTTCTCCCATTCTTCCATGTAATAACTTTTGACAGCATGATGCTTCTAAAACAGCCATCTTGACACAGGTTGGTTGATTCTGTCAGGTTTGAACTAAGCATCTGTCAATTGGGTTTTATGAATAAGCAAGAGCCACCATTCAAGGGACATGTTCAGAAGATGAAATATAAAAAAATACACATTTTATTCAGTTCTACTGTTAATAAGAAACATGACAATTTTATTGTGCAATATTTTTGTGCTAATTAAAGTATTGAGTGTTTAGCTTAGCAACTTGCAAATATTATACTCTGTTTTGCTAACATTTTGCCCTATTTTGTTTGGAAGTCTATTTTCACACAAAGTTGACAGACTAGTTGGCTGAATTAGCTAGTTAGACATTATTAAAGTCTCACTTTGCATTAGTCAAGTCTCACTTTACGTGTGGTGCACTGATTGTTTGGGTGTGTGAGTTTGTTTGCATGGGCATTACTGTCTATATAGGACCACTTAGGATGTCTAATGTAAACAGTATAAAAAAACACTAGAATTTGGAACAGAGCCATGGTGTAGCCAGTCTGAGGTAATGTTTTGCAGGTCATGTAAGGTTGCCTTCCTTTTCTTGTACAGTCATCAGGTTTAGTTGAGTGGCCTGAACTTAGCCAGGTCCTATTCATGCCATTTTTCATTTATGTCCTGATGTCGTACAGTGCGTTTAAGGCTAGTGATATCTTTGATTAACCTCTGTCCTCATATATGAACCTCTCAGCTATTTGTTGTTGATCTTGTGTCAGGCTGTATTGTACAGGTGTTTACTAGGGGTGAGATGCATGACCAAAATCCTGTGTCAGGGTATGATAAATTTATATCATGATATAGTTATTTTTTTCTGGAAATTCAACCTCCAAATGTTACATAATTTAAACATTTTAAAAGGAAAGGGACATTATCTTTTCTTTTCTTTTTTTTACGTTTTTATTTATTTCATTGCACCCATCTAAATTGCTCCCATTATTATCAACCAATCTGTTTATATTCGAAGCATATATATGTGACATTTTTCAAAATAGACTAGATTTGTCTTGGTATTGGACTGGGATCGGTTCACATTGGATGATGTAAAAAGCTTTGACATGTACTGCATAACACAAAAGTTGCTGAAAAAATAGCTTAAATAGGTCAAATGATAAAGGCTTCTTTCCTCATCCAAGGTGGTCTGCCACCATCAATCCACCTGGTTTTAACTGAATTTTCCAGCAGAAAGAACTAACTGGAACAGCCTCATATTCTGATACTTAAAATATCTGATATAAAAGGTCCGGCTTTCCGGCATTAAGGCAGTGGAATTTTTAGGCGTTGAAATAGTGTGTAGATTTTCTAGATCCACTCTAAAAGATGGGCTGAGCTGTAGGCAGTTAGAAAAGCCTATTACTTACAGTCCAGAGCATTTGCTGTACAAAAAAATAATCATGTTATGTGCAAGTGGTGTGTGTGTGTGTGCGCGTGTGCGCGTGCGTGTGTGCGTGCTTGGCTGTCGTTTGGGGACAAAATTGTCATGAGAAGTGAACTAAATGATCTGGCAAAACCTCCACTGGAGATGTTGTATGTGTGAAAACAGTTCATAAATAAATTAAATAATGCAAAAGTTTTCTTTTAGGCATAGAGTTTGGGTTAATATATATTTAATTATAATTAGCCTTATATAAAAAATTGTATGTGTGTAATTTGTCCTCATTTAGCTAAGTAAACGTGCATGTGTTTGTGCTGTCATTTTCTAATGTTTCTTTGATTTTCATATATTCATGTTGTGCAGAGCTCTTGGATGAACAGATTCACACCAATACACACACACTCTCTTAGACTCATGGGCGCTGCATGTGCTTTTCCTCTGTAGACTCTGGCTGCACTCACACGTCACTCCATTAACCTGCTCCCCAACCACCTGGCTCAAGCCCTGCATGTGCGCGCCGGCTCACAGGAAATTAACGCTCGCATGCAGAGCGCCATCGCCCTGCGCAGCGGGGACAAGCTCCGCCAAGAACATATCTCCCCCTTCTCTCTCACCTTTAGAGAAGCACTGCTGGAGCACAAGGTAGCCTGCTCCCATCTTCCAGCCATCCTGTCCTCCCTCTCTGCTCTCTCACTCTCTCTTTTTTGCTATATTTTTGTTTTGGAGGTGCAAGAGAAGGAGGCGAGAGAGTGTTTTTGTCATGAGTAAACTAAAGGACGTTATGTGCCAGCAATAGCAGTCAATACTTTCTAGAACATGCACAGCAGTTTAAAATGTTCTCAATTACTATATCCCATCCTAAAAAAACAAGTTAAGGAGGTCCAGCTGTTTTTAGAACATGGTAGCTGCTTTCGTTGGTCCAAGATGGTCAACCGGATGGACCAACAATCTAGACCAATTTGCACCATATTAACGATCATCTGCCACCAGTTTTAGTTGGATTTTCTAGGAGGAGTGATGACACTTCTGAAACCACTACAAAGCAGTTATGGACTTCACTTGAACGGATATTTCTCCTCAAAACAAAATTCTGTTATTATTTTCGCTCTCATGTCCAAACAGCCTTTCGTCTGTGGAACGAAAAATGTTACATTTTAAAGAGTCTTCAAGTTCTTCAATATTCAATGACCGTTCATATATAGTGACCACAGCTTCAAAAAGGATTTTAAAAAAACCCAAAAGGTCATTTTTACGGAATGGTCTGAATGTTTCATTCACAAATCGTGATGCAGTTCTTGAGCTGTTAAACTGAGAACCGCTTTTAGGCCATTAGTCTGACAAAAAGGTTGTTTCCTGATCCGATCAGCAGGTTCTGACAAAGAAAAAGAGAGTGAATTTAAATCAACACTTAGGATATTGAACTGGTGAATTCAGCTGATTGGATTGGTCTCCAAATTGATTTGTTTTAATCACTGATGAACTTGGTTCATCATATGAACCTTAATTCTTCCTGATCAACTGGGATTGGCCCACAGACAGGCCTTCAGGTTACTCATGATCCACGACTATGCATATTTTTCATCTTAGATAAAAACGCTTTTTATTCAGCTTATTTGTCCCTCACCTCATTTCTGCTGGTTTGAGTTGACCTTTGCCCCCTGCTTGGCCTTTGACTTGGCCTGTGCCACTCTGTGCTTGGGTTTTTTGGTTTGCTACAGCTCTGACATCACACGTCCTCTCACTAACCCAATGAGCACAGGAGTTGTGTGTATATGTGTGTATGAGCGCCTACCCTGCTCTCTCCTATGTGGTTAGCATTGCTTTCATGGTGTCATTGTGGTCGTCATGTGAAGAGGAAGTTTTGTCCTTAATTTTCTGTGTGTGTGTGTGCATGTGTGTGTGTGTGTTTCCTCTACAGTATTCCCAGATGCGAGACGAGGTGTTTAAGTCTAATCTAGTGTGTGCCTTCATTGTTCTCTTCTTCATCACTGGAATACAGAGCTTACTTCCCTCAGCAAGGTAATTAATACACAAGTACATAAAGACACTGATGGCCATAACTACCACAGACATTGAGGTTGACACATGATCTATTTGGGTTTATACTGCATATAGTAGTCATGGATTAATATTTCCAGTAGTGTTCGATGTGGGTTTTTCAATGAAATTTGATCTTGAATATTTGATATTCGATTACTCCCACAAGAGCATCATATAATATGTGATCACTCATGTTTGTAGGATGGTCACTATGGTGATACAGTTCTCCGTCCTCATCTTGCTGCACTGTTGCCTTGTTGTCGTGACAACAGCGGAGGACTATAAGTGTTTGCCGCTGGTTTTGCGAAAAGCATGTTGCTGGGTGAACGAAACGTACGCTGCACGGAACGTTGTCATCTTCCTCTCCATCCTCATCAACTTTCTGGCTGCCATGATTAACATAGTGAGCAAACATTTTTATTAATTTTATTTTTAATATCATCTTTATACTCATGCAAATGTTACCGTGGATATATAAAGTTTTAATTTGTGAGCTGAACCAATTTAAACTCGAATTATAGACCCAATGTGGAGTATAAATTAATTTTTATTTATAGAGTCTAGTGATAAATTTGTACAAAAATCACTGGCCTATGACTAAAAAGAAGGCATGCACAATATATGGCTCAAAATCTGCAAAGGGGTAATTGAATGTAACAAATCATTTTTGGGTATTATAAAACATTCAAAATGCTTTTTGCGTAGTTCATTATACTTATTTTACAAAATGAAGTTTTATGGGACTATTTTGGGGCCTAACTAAATTACGTTACTCAAAGACCGACATATTTGGCTTGTCAAAAACATTCAGCTGTCATAAATTTGTTGACTTTTCAGAAACACAGAAGTGGTTTTGATGCACAAAGTTGTTTTTATTGTCTCTTATAACAAAAATATTTTATTTAAACCCATGAAAATGCAGATCCTGTAGTAAATAATAGTGAAAAATCACTTTTTAAAACTGTTGTTCCATTATTACCCCTTAGCAGATTTTGACTCATATCAATATCATATTGGTTATTGGCCGATATTAGAGTAATGTTTTTATTTAATAACTTCCAAAATTTTTACATTTAGATTACTTTTTTCCATCATCTAACACTCAAAGTTGATCTTCAAAAACACTAAGAACTTAATGACAGTTAAATTCCAAATAAAAATCTAATTTTCATACTGTATGTTATAACATTGTGATGCCTAAATTGCATGTAAAACATTTGATCTTAATTTTTAATATTTTTAATTTGATTTAATAGATATTGTCAGTTACTACTTTCAGTAGAATATTATATAAGCCATTTATCAGTTACAGCTATAGCACCTAAAGTTCTTGGAAATGTCATTATATTGCTCTTTCTACCGATAAATTCTCAAATGCAATCGATTGTCTAACATTAGCACTCTCTTTCTCTTTTATTGTAGCTTTGGTGTGATTTCGACAAATCCGGCTCATTCAGGAACCAGACGTTTAATGCATCTGCCTCAATCCCTGATATCTGCTTCTACCCAGAGGTCTTTTCATCCACCCTCTCACACAATCAGACCCACAGCTTATTGCCAGTTTCAGTCTGTTAAAAGGATTGATAGAATTCTAGCAAATGTGTAAACTGTTTAAAATCAATTAATTCACTGTACACAGAGCAATGGCGTATTAATGGTGATGTTGTCTGCCTGTTTATTGACAGTATTTCGTGTTTACTGGAGTGTTGGCTATGGTGACGTGTGCAGTGTTCCTCAGACTGAACTCGGTTCTGAAGCTGGCCATCCTGCTGATCATGATCGCTATCTACACAGTGCTGACAGAGGCCTTCTACACACCACTGTTCATCCGCTATGACACACTTACACTTAATCAGAGGTATGCAAACTCCCACATTGTGCCATTCAGAAGCCATTGAGGAACAAATTATAAAGAGCGAAATTATACATCAAACTTTAACTGTATGGATGTGATTGTGATGAATCAAGCAAGTTCGTAAAATGACGCGGACCAACTATAAGAGCAATAAATGTCTTGCTGTTTCTAAAGTAGCAGTCTGCGAGTGTTTTAATAGATTTCTGCAAGTTTTATGATTGACGTCACCCAGTCATAAATTTCTGTCTTCTGCCAAGCTCTTAATGAGAAGGACACGTCAAACTACGTCAGAAAGTAAATGTGGGTGGTGTGGCCTGGTGGTCAAAAGATTAGGTTGGCAACTGTAAATGTATAGGTTTTTAACCCTGCAAGGATTGCAAATACACTTCTGTGACTGCCTACATACACTGCCGAAAGTTTGGGGTCTGTAAGGTTTTTATTATTACTGTTATTATTATTATTATTATTCAGCAAGGCTGTATTAAATCAAGACATAAAGACATTTACAATGTAACTTAAGATTTGTATTTCAAACAAATGCTATTCTTTTGAACTTTCTATTAATCAACAGATCCTGAAAAAATAGTTTCCACAAAATTTTTAAGCAGCACAATTGTTTTAAACAAAAAATATTTCTTGAGCAGCAAAACAGCATATTAGATGACTGCAGTAATGGCTGCTAAAAAAAAATCAGCTTTGCCATCACAAGCAAAAAGTACCTTTTAAAATGGCATTAAATTTAGAAAACTTAATTCTATTTTAATATTAAAATAGAAAACAGTTATTTTAAATTATGGTAATATTTCACAATATTACAGTTTTTGCTGTATCTTTGATAAAAAAAAAATGCAGCCTTCATGGACATAAGAGACTTCTTTCAAGAACATTAAAAATCTTACCCCAAACTTTTAAACAGTTGTGTGTGTGTGTATATATATATATATATATATATATATATATATACATAGATAGATAGATATAATAATAATAATAATAATGTTTAGCCATAGATGCACAATAGTAATAATATACCAGTTATGAGATTTTCTTTTGTAACTGGTCAGAATATTATTTGTATTTATTTATTTGCTGATTAACAGCACTACAGAAGAAAAGTTACTGTGCATCAAGTTCTTCATTGATGTTCATCATTTTCACATGATATTGCAAAGGCACTTCAAAGAATACTGTGGTTTACCACCCAAAAAACATGGAAAAATTGGGGGGAAATATTTATATAATATGAAAAAAACTATTAAATTATTTGCATGTACTACTTATACAACATTGTTGCAGTGCTAAGATGTCTGCCCTAGTTATCATCATTGTGCACCATATTTACTCCATATTATTCCAGAGTTATTGTCCCTTATGAGAACTCTGTAAATCACTTAGATAAAATAAAACAAACCCGTCTACCAAATTACAACCTCTAAAGAAGAGCTAAACCTCTAAAGCAGAACCAAATCCTGAAAAAGACATTATAATCCACTTTCATAAAAAAATTAACATCTTTTTAATGTCAGGTATCATAAGTGTTTGAAAAACAGTGTACACTGTAATTAAGGCTCTTTATGACATTTATGACAGATGTTTGTCTTAACTAACTACACTCTGGACATTATAAATGTGCTGCAGAGCTCATGAGACTTTCTGTCCCGTTTCCCTGGTTACAGCAAAAGCTTCCTGGGAACCAAGGAAACGTCTCTGCTTCTCATGGCGATGTTCCTTTTAGCTGTGTTCTACCACGGCCAACAGGTAACAGAGGCGCACACACAATCGCTAACCTGACAGCGGATCAGGGGCCATTCAGTGCCTATTTTATAATGTCACGTTTCTAAGAAACGGCTGCAAGTTATTGGCTGCTTCATAAGGTCTCACAGTCAATATATAAAAGCCCTGGTCTCTCTCTGACGCACAGTGTGTGAAGCTTTTTAAGTTCACTCTTCTGATTGTTGTCTTTGATGCCGTAGATCAGTGGAAAGAGCCAGTCCGAGTGGTGATGAGCGAGAGAGAAAGAGAAATGGGTGCTGGGTTTGTGTAGGTGTGTGTGTGTGTGTGGTGTCGGCACCACTCTGATTAATTCTCACATATGATCGCAATGCTTTCTGCTTGTGCCATGTGTTGTGTCCAGCTATAAACTGCCTGTCCCCACATCCCCCCCATATGTATGGCAACAGCAGGTGGTAGCACTGGCACTGCTTGGCCTATGGATTGGGATTTGGCGTGTGTTTCTTGGACAGTGATTTGATCATTTCTTATTTATGCTCATTTTGGTGTGTGTGTCGGATGAATGAACAAGCACTCTGTCACTGCAGGTCAGTGAGGGTTTATTCTTCATATGCTGTTGTTTTTATGAGACATTAATTTGCATATACAGTGGAGTGCAAAGGTCTGAGAACACACTGAAAATCTGGGAATCAAAATTAAGTTTACAATAAAAAGTTTTCTGAAAGTTTTAGGATTTTGAAAAAAAAATAAGACAAAGAAATGTTGTAAAATGAGTCTAAAAATGTGAAAATTATGTAATTGTTTAATTGCTTCAACACTGCAAAAAAAAATCGTAATATTTAAAGGGGTCATATGATGCTGCTAAAAAGAACATTATTTTGTGTATTTGGTGTAATGAAATGTGTTAATGCGGTTTAAGGTTAAAAAAACACATTATTGTTTCTCCTCTATGCCCCGCCTTCTGAAACGCGCCGATTTTTACAAAGCTCATCGGTCTGATCGGTCTGAATGTGCTCTGATTGGCCAGCTATCCAGCGCGTTGTGATTGACCGAATACCTCAAGCGTGTGAAGCGTGTGATACGCCCCTCACCATACTGTGATGATGCCCTGTCAGGCCGGAGCGATGAATCAAAAACATGAAAACCCATTATAAATGAGGCATTCGTTGCATCCAGTGGGGACATAATTATGGATTATAATGACTTATACTGTCTTTTTACGCGTTGCATTGCATCGCGCCGCGTAAATATAAAACCATGTCTGCATTTGTGATCGGAGAAATGACAAACAACAAGCCCTACTCTACACTGCCCAAAAAACTAGCTTTAAATATATAAAATATAAAAACTCTTTAAATATAAAAAACGTACTTACAGTCTTTGAGTCAGAACAGCCGGCATTGTAGTCTACTCTACCAGGATCAGGAAACGGTCCTCCATAAAATGTGCTGCACACATCTGAATATTTGGATTAAACTGTTCTGGACCAGTGTTGTAAATACAACTTAACCACTGATTTCTAGTCGTGTCCATTTTTGGAAAGCCAAACAAAGTAGTTTCGCTTTCACAACGAAACACACAGCGTCTTCATGACATGGCGGCGGAAACAACAAAACTACAGCGAGAATAAAAGTTACGCCTTCTTTCTTTGCGTGAACATTTGGGCGGCGTTATGCAAATCTTCCCACAT